GGGGGGAGGGGGGACGAACATGGAGAAAGAAAAGTCAACGAAATGGGCTGGGGTGCCGGGAAGAACAATAAGTCTCATGTTTTGCTTTTTGCTCATTTTTTTTTTACTTTTTTTACTTTATCTTTTTATTTGTTTTTTTTCTTATTTTAATAATTTATTGTTCAAAATGTTCATACTCATGCTCACTGCCCCGCGTGAATTACACCTATTTTGTCCAGCTCAATGTTTTGTTGCCACATGTGCTCGGTCAATGGTCAGTATTTAAAAGTTATATTTTGCATGAGTTCAAGTATCCGATTGAAACTTTGTAGAGTAGAGGGACCGGGATGACAAAACCATACTAGTACAAGTGTCTATTAGGCTATTTTGCCAAAAGGAAAAAGAAATTGCTTACACATATATTAAAACGACGTCGTAATAAAGAGTCAGTAGGGTTGGGGTGAGCTCTACTGTATGGTCCCGACTCCCGATTGGAAGCACCCGAATTTGCCGTTTTCCAACCCTTACACAGGACAGAGCGAAGTAGAAAGAGGGATAAAGAGAGTAAAGGAGAATATAACAATCGGTTAAAATGGCATTATCAGGAGATTTAAGGGTCTCCGCAACATTGGTTCCATACCCGAAGAATCCTCTTCGGACTTCTCTACCTCCTTCTAAGGTTTGTCTTTTTACCCCCTTTTCCTAATTCATAGCTTTAACATCTTCATATTTTGCCAATTTTTAGTAAATTATGTATTGGGTATTTCTCAAATTGTTTATAAGTATACATTTATACCTAGTCTGAACTTATTTTCTCAAATTAGTGAGTTGTACTCGACACCACTGACTTATAATCCTGGATCTACTTTTGTAATTGAAGTGCAAGTAATGGTTAAAATGTTATGGCGGGTGACGGTGTGAGTATTTGGAAAATAATAGTTCCAGTATGGTTTATGAGTATGACTAAATTATTTTAATTCGGTTTTCCTCCCTTTAAACAAGAGTTGACAGGCACTAGCTTAATCACGCCTTTTATCCTGCTTTACTCACTTCTTTTGGTTAAGAAAATGAACCTTGGTTTAATTCAACATCAAAAGTTAGCTCACGAGGTGAAGATTGTCTAAGACCCAATAAGGAGACAACAACCAATTCCCTCAACCAATGTAGCCTGTAGGACACTTTACACACACCTCGTGATACCCAGGGTCGGGAATCTGGTACGTCGACAACGTAATATGGGGGCCATTTGGTAAGCCAAGAATAGACAAGGATCAGACTCTGATACCATGTTAAGAAAATAAACCTTTGGCCACTCATAAAAATAATTAAGATAATACTTGAGCCTGATGAGGCGAGATTTTCCCAAGGCCATATGACGAGACAATAAGCCATTATTATTAAAATTATTCTTGATTTACGAAAAGGGAGACAATAACTCTTTCCCTCAAGCCTCAACCAATGTGGAATACTTTACACGTTCTTAAAGTTCTCTTATTGTAACTTCCTTCTTATTTTTGCACGGTTGCCATTCTTAGTACTTGTAAAAAAAAAGGGCAGCCCAGTGCACTAAGCTCCCGCTATGCGCGGGTCCGGGGAAGGGCCAGACCACAAAGGTCTATTGTACGCAGCTTTACCCCGCATTTTTGCAACCATTCTTAGTACTTTGAAGAGAATAAATGCTCTTCCGATTTTTGCTAAAATTTTCTCAATGGAATTGGAAAAAGACATCTGATCTAGATAACTTCCTATTGTAAATCTGCACTCATGCTTTAAATCGATCTCCTCGCACTAGCTGTTTAGTAGAGCTGAATTAGATACACATAGTCAGGCTAGTTTCTTGAGATGATGTTCGTTCTGTTTAGGACACATGGAAATTTGCCAATTACCTTAATGCATGAATCTACTTCTGCTTGCGCTGTTAGCAAGTTTGGTTAATTGTTGCATCTCTTAACAATTAGTAACATGTTTCTACGTGAATTTGATGCCTTTACTTATAATTTACACCTGATCATGTTAGCATTACATGCAAACCACCCAATACTTTTTGGTAATTGGATTTTTCTATATGCATGTAGTTAGTACTTATTACACAGAATGTAATGCCATTGGTCCATGGTGCTTCCATTGTGTAATGCAATTGTGTTTACGGCATATTAGAGTAGCTGACTAGATCCTAATTTTGAAGAAAGCAAGACTGCTTGGTGCCTGAATTATTTGTTCCCTTTCTCCTCTTCTTGGATGGTTGAATGAGTTAACTTTGCCCTATGATGTGATTCACAAGTTCGACCGGTCTTGTTTATTCTGCCTGGTACCACGTCGATTGGTGCTCGGAAGTTGCTTCCTCGATTGCTAGTTTCAGTTCAATATTGACTTTCCTTTGCCCTCTTTTGGATCTTAGTACTCTAGGTAAATGTGAGATGCTGTGCCTAAGATGGACTCTTACGAGTGAAGGTGTAAAGAATTCACTGTTATATGTTTGCATCATTTATGTGAGCTCCAAGTATTGACTAGATATGCTTATGCCATGTAAGCATTCATGGATTCACCTGAATTTATTGTTTGCTTCAAAGGAGAACCTGTGTTTTCCTGAAACGATGAGAGAAGCAGAAGATGGTTATGTTCACTTATTTTCTAATCTAAGATTTCATGTCAGTATCATTTTAAGTACATCCTCTATATCTTTATAGTTTGAATGGTACCGCTGAAGATTGGCTTATAGGTATACTATGTGACTGCTGCTCGGATATAGAATCTACCCTCTGCATCTATATCTTTGTTTTATTACTTCAGTTACTTCAATTTTGTCCAGAAAATTTGGGAGCATTGGGAAACAATGGTTGTACAAGTTGTGGTGTGCATTATGTAGGAAAAAGTTTAACATCCTAGTATCTTCTAAAACAATTTCCTAAAATGTATCTAAATTTTGTGTTCATGTTCTCCCAATGTTTGTATCATTACCACCCTAAAAGATAATTTCTTGCACATTGCAGGTAGATTTTAGTGCTTTTCTTAACGGTGGATCAAGTGCTACTGATGTCTTGCCTAGATGGTCTCATGTAGCATCTGATGGCCATAGCTTGCGGTGCCAAGCAAGGCGACCTTTTGGGATCCTTGGAGAATATAAACTATCGACAAGTTCCATCAGCCAGGAATTTGATAATTTACTCCTCAATGCTATCAACATGAGCTTTTTTGAGCGCCTAAACTTGGCTTGGAAGATAATGTTTCCACCATCCCCTTCGGCAAGTAATTCTAGTGCTGCTAATATTGCTAAGCAACGCCTAAAGATGATTCTCTTCTCTGATAGATGCGCTGTCAGCGACGAGGCAAAACAGAAGATTGTAAGCAACGTCGTTAGCGCTCTCTCTGATTTTGTGGAAATAGAATCACAGGATAAAGTACAGTTGAGTGTCTCAACGGATCCAGATCTAGGGACAATTTACTCTGTTACAGTGCCAGTCAGACGAGTAAAATCCGAATACCAAGAAGAGGATCCAACTGGAACGATAACTAATGTTGAGTACAAAGACACTGGAGATAGTTCTGGTTCAGTTGATGTCAAGTTTGACTTCTATATTCCAAATGAGAAGTTCAAGGACTTTGATTTGTGAAACCTGGTCATATCCTTTGCCTAACAGGAAGAGGATAGTAATGTCTTGTTTTTCTGGCATTAATAATTTTTCCCTTTGTAAACATACTAGTAGGTGGTCCTTCAAATATGCTGTCAATCAACTTAGAGTGCTGTAAATATCTGAAAATCTCATTTGGAAGTGTTTGATCATTGATGAATTTGCTAGCTATGGTTTTAATCTGAGTGACACTTGTAACAATCTGTTCCTCCATGTACCAGTGCTCAAGTATTTGATTCTTGTTTATATTGGAGAAGGTAATAGAGATTATAGAAGGACAAAATCTCATATGGTTTGAAGAAACATTCCATAAAATAATTATTAGGTGCATAACGTATTCAAGGTTTTCTCACTTGGTTTCCACATATAAAAAGAAAACTAGATAGTGTTATGGTATTTAATCGAGAAACAAGCTATTAGGCAACGTTTGGGCTTGTAGCATTAAGATAAATAAAACTTAACATAGTAAAATTGCGTTTTGACATAATTTTTATGGGAAAAATGTCGAAGTTCGTGAGTGAAAACAATTACTCAATTTGTTTCAAAATTTATGCATTACACTTTTTTAAAACTTTATTTCAAATAATGATACCTTTCCATATTTAAAAATAATTTATCTTTTCTGCCTCATCTTTGATAAGATAATTGATAAAGTTTACCTTCCAAAGTAACATTGCATAAATGAGACAGAGCGTACTAGCTAACTTGAAATACTCATCTAAAATGTATTTTAAATTTTAAATTCTTTATTTTAAGTTAAATTATGAAATAATGGATAAAATTATATGTAAATACGCACATATAACCTCAACTAGCCAAAGCCCATTTCCCCATTTCCTAATTACCCTGGCCCTTCCGATCAGCTGCAAAGTGCAAACAAAACATTACATAAAATGGGAAAAGCAAAACGAAAATTTGTTAAAGTGATTAGGCGGGAAAATTTCAAGCAGTCCAAAGGACTCTCATTTTAGGGCTCGAACTTTTCAAAAAATAGTTGCTGTTTCATCGTTTCAATTCAAAATGAATACTATTTCTTTGAATTTGGAGGATCCAATTCGGGACGCAATTTCAAGGATCCGATTCGGTCCACATTCCAACAACCTGCTCATTTCTTCTTGGGATTCTGTAAGTGTAAAACCCCCTTCCTCTCTATATTCTGTGTTTGTATGTATGATTCAAGCTCATTTGGATATAGTAGTAAAATTCGCCTCAATTTTAAACTAGTTGGGTTCGGCTATATAATCCTCATTTCCTTTCCCTCCGTTTGGGTATTTTAATATTAATACTCATTTTTTTTTGTATTTAGATAAATTAGTAGTTTAGGGGTTTCTACATCTTCTACTATCTTTAAATTCTAGTTCATTTGCATGTAACACAAAAATTGGATTTGGCAGAGTCTTCGATTGTACGATGTAGATAGCTCTAAGCTTCGAATGGAAGCTCCTGGGAAAGCTTCTCTCCTCGATTGCTGCTTTGAGAACGAGAGGGTGTGCCTTAGTGCTGCTTCTGATGGTTCAATTTACAGGTTTTTACTCCTGCTTTATGATAATCTAATCAAGTCTCCCCCTCTCTTGCAGTAGGTGCATAGTGCACGTGTAAGCCCCTTTATTTAGGGGGCGGCTTAGTGCACAAGTTATTGGTTCATCTCAATCCAATAGCTTTGGCTCATAACCTGTGTATGTGTTAAAAAATCCACTAAATACGTACAAATAATAGATTTTAAGCCTAGTAAATCAAACAAGCTTGATGGGCTTAGGTGCCCGGTACCTGTGGAGGTAGCGGGTACCTTGTGGAATAGTCGAGGTGTGCACAAGCTAGGCCATATACCATCAACATCATCAAAAGAAAAATAAATGGTCTATGATAGAATTTTGAACTCGGACCTATAAAGTTCAAATCTAGGATCCGCTATGCTTTTATTCCGTATTGTAATGGACAAAAACAGAAAGCTTTCATGTTAGAAAAGAAAAGGAAAAAGAAAAAGAAAAAGTAAAAGAAGAAGCTTATGTGTTGAGCTTAGAGCTAGAAACATTTTTTTCACATGTTTCCCAGTACGTTCTCTGGGGAATGCATTGAATTTGTTATCACTCTACACATGATGGTCCCTTTTGGGTTGTTCTTCTTCCTAGATATGATTTGGATTCAGGAAATAAAGCCTCAGTGGGAATTCATGATGATGTAGCAACCTGTGTTGAGTATTCTCCTACGACATGTAAGATATTGGTACCTCTCTAATTTCAATATGGTGGCTTCTTAACATTTTCATTAAATATTCCCTTGGAGAAACACACAACACATAATTTTCAAAGCAAAAGCAATGATAACAATGTTTAGGTATTTATGTCAAAGCTAATAGATTTTCCATAAGCTAATTATCGTACTACGCACAAGAATTCTATTTGCATATTCCTAAAGTTGAGGATCCATTAATCAGTATCTTAGATGGAAACTTGATTTATTTGGATATATGTTCAACATCATGTGGCAAATGGAAAGGACCAAACTTCACTGATTTGCTCACAACTTTATTGCTCTGAAGGTATAAATTTATCGATTCAATTTTTTCTCCTTAAATTCCTTTTTCATTGGTGTAAGGAGGGGACAGTAGAAGACTTCTAAGATGTTTTATACTTTTTAGATTCATTGAGGTGAGTGTGCTTAATTGCTATATGGTGACCTCTGTACTGTTGTAATTTTGTATTTTGCAGTACCATCTTGGTACTTGCCTTAATAATATTTACTTATCTTATTAAAAAAAATAATTGTAGGTCAAATAATTTCTGCTGGTTGGGATAGAAAGATAAATTTTTGGGATGCTCGTTCAACCCAATCTCATGGCTGCTTGAACAGCTTAGCTTCAGAGGTGGAGTCAGTGTCACTATCTGGGTTCAGTTTGATGGTTGCTGCTGGCTCCTCAGTTGATATATATGACCTACGA